TAAAAAGCGGAAAAATAGGGACTTTCCTGGTGGTCCAGTGGTTCAGAGCTGCTTGCCAATCGATCCCTGGTCTGGGAAGATCCCACATACCATGGAGCAGCTAAGCCCGTGGGCCACAACTGCTGAGCCAGCTCTCCAGAGCCCACGCCCTGCGAACCACTGAGCCCGCGTGCTGCACCTGCTGAAGCCTGTGTGCCTGGGGCCTGTGCTGCACAACGAGAGAAACCTCCACGATCAGAAGCCCTCGCACTGCAGCAAAGAGCAGCCCCCACTTGCTGCAGCTAGAGAGAGACCGTGTCCGGCAATGAAGACCCAGCACATTTTTTTTTAAAAATCTAAAAATATCGGAAAAATGTAGACTGGAAAGAGAGCCTAAATTATATCTGAAGACGCAGAGGACAGGAATGGGGACTAAAGGGATGTTAACTCGATCAGTATCTTTTTAAACAACTTTTCCAATCAGCCTCGATTTGAAGCTTGGAGTGTTAATTATAGCTGAGCTCAGGCAGCCACTGTGTGGGACAGAGCAATGTGGCCCTGAACCTCCACCAGCATGGTTAAACGGTGTCGCTTAGCGTATGCTTCTTTAACTTTTTCTATGCAAAGTTTCAGACATGCAGGAACATAGAATGATTCAGGTACCCGCTCATAGTGCCCCGACTTTGTTTTGTTTTCTCCCTGCCCTGTTTGGATGAACTCAGTGCCCCCTTTCTCTACTGTTCATGTGAACAGCGGAGGAAGTCTGTCTGCTTAGCCCACGGTCAGGTGTCTTCCAGAAGCTCTTCAGGCCCAGCGGACCCTGAAAGTTATCAGTGAGACCATTCAGGCACACATGACTTCTCTTTGGTTCTTCCAGGTGAGTGAGGAATGTTTTATTTTACATGAGGTCTATAGTTTCTAATCATTTGAGACACCACGGGTTACTAAAACATTACTAAGTTAAAATGTGTGCAGTCACATAACTTCCTGAGGACTTAAAATTCAGTGTTCTGCTAAGAAGCCTGGCCAGTGCACTAGCCTACGTCACAAAATAAAACTGACCCAAAACACTGGGCAACCGGCACGTCCAAGTCAGCTGATCTTGAGCTGCCATTCTCCAGAAGCCATTTGTTGTAAAGATGGTTTGGCGTTGTTGAGTTCTCTTAGCTTTTGCTTTTCTGTATCAACTTTTGACTTCTCTATCAAATCTGAACAGGAGCCTTGTTGGGTATTCTTGGTTGTAGGTTTTCCCTTTTCAGCACTTTAAATACATCATGCCACTCCCTTCTATTGGGTTTCCGTGGCTCAGCAGGAAAGAGGAGAAGGCAATGGCAGCCCACTCCAGTACTCTTGCCTGGAAAATCCCATGGATGGAGGATCCTGGTAGGGTGCAGTCCATGGGGTTGTGAAGAGTTGGACAGACTGAGCGATTTCACTTTCACTTTTCACTTTCATGCATTGGAGAAGGAAATGGCAACCCACTCCAGTGTTCTTACCTGGAGAATCCCAGGGACGGCAGAGCCTGGTGGGCTGCCGTCTATGGGGTCGCACAGAGTCGAACACGACTGAAGTGACTTAGCAGCAGCAGCAGCAGGAAAGAATCTGCCTGCCAATGCAGAAGATGGGGTTTTGATCCCTGGGCCAGGAAGATCCCCTGGAGAAGGAGATGGCAACCCACTCCAGTATTCTTGCCTGGGAAATCCCATGGACAGAGGAGCCTAGCAGCTATAGTCCATGGAGTCGCAAAGAATTGGACACAACTGAGCAAGTAAACAACAATACTCCCTTCTAGCCTGAGTTTCTGCTGAAAAACCAGTTGTTAACCTTATAGGTATTCTCTTGTATGTTCTTTTTTTTTGTTGCTTTTATATTTTTCTCTGTCATTAATATTTATTAATAGCAATTGATTACTATGTGTCTTAGAGTGTTCCTCCTTGGGTTTATCCTGCTTGGGATTATCTGTACTTCCTGGACTTGGGTGACTATTTCCTTTCCCAGTCAGGGAAGTTTCTAGCTATTATCTGTTTTGAGTATTTTCTCAGGTTCTTTCCCTCTCTCTTCTCCTTCTGGGACCCTTATAACGTGAGCACTGGTACATTTAATGCTGTCCCAGAGGGCTCCTAAATTGTCATTTCATTTTTTTTCTTTTATTCTGTTCCATAGCAGTGATTTCCACTATTGTCTTCCAGCTCACTTATCCATTCTGCTGCCTCATTTATTCTATTGATTCCTTCTACTGTATTTTTCATTGCAGTTACTGTTCAATTCTGTTTGTTCTTTAAATCTTCTAGCTCATTGTTAAACGTTTCATGTATCTTCTTAGTCTGTGCTTCCATTCTTTTTGTGAGATCTTAGATCATCTTTACTATCATTACTCTGAATTCTCTTTCAGGTAGATTGTCTATCTGCACTTCATTTAGTCATTCTTCTGGGGTTTTATCTTGTCTTATCATCTGACACATATTCCTCTGCCGTCTTATTTGTGGTCTCCATTCTGCGGCCTGTAAGATAGTAGTTCCTCTTGCTTCAGGTGTCTGCCCTCTGGTAGGTGAGGCTAGTCAGAGAGGCTTGTGCAGGCTTCCTGGTGGCAGGGACTGGTGCTTGCCCACTGGCGTGTAGAGCTGGGTCTTGACCCCTCGTGGTGGACAAGGTCATGTCAAGGATTGTTTAGAGGTGGCTGAGGGCTCAGAAAGACTTTAAGCAGTCTATCTGCTGACGGCTGGGGCTGTGATCCCACTCTGTTGGTTGTCTGGCCTGAGGCAACCCAGCACTTGAGCCTAAGGGCTGATGGGTGGGGTTAGGTCTCTGCCAAAACGGTAATCTCCGGGGCAGCTCACACCAATGAGCACTCCCCAGTACCTCTGTCCCTAGTGTCCTTGTCCCTGCAGTGAGCCAAGCACCTCCCACCTCCCAGAAGACCCTCCGGGACCAGCAGGTAGGTCTGGCCCAGGCTCCTATGAAGTGCTTTTTCCCTCAGGTCCCAGTGTGCCTAAGACTTGTCTATGCCCTCTAAGAGTGGCATTTGTTACCTCCAGTCCTGTGGAGTTCCTGTGATCGAGTCCTGCTGCTGCTGCTAAGTCGCGTCAGTCGTGTCCGACTCTGTGCGACCCCTGGGACGGCAGCCCACCAGGCTCCGCCGTCCCTGGGATTCTCCAGGCAGGAACACTGGAGTGGGTTGCCATTTCCTTCTCCAGTGCATGAAAGGGAAAAGTGAAAGTGAAGTCGCTCAGTCGTGTCCGACTCTTTGCGACCCCATGGACTGCAGCCCACCAGGCTCCTCTGTCCCTGGGATTTTCCAGGCAAGAGCACTGGAGTGGGTGCCATTGCCTTCTCCGTGACCAAGCCCTGCTGGCTTTCAAAGCCAGGTGCTCCTGTGGTTCCTCCTCCCAATGCCAGACCCCCAGGCTCTTGGGACTCTAACTCCTGTGGCAGAACCTCTGCGATATATTCTTTTCCAGTTTGTACGTTACCCATTCAGTGGGTGTGATACTTGGTTATAGTGTGAATGCACCCCTCCCTACCATCTTGTGGTGGCTTCATTTTCTTTGGATACAGACTATCCTTTTTTGTCGAAGGTTGTTCAGCAGTTATTTGTGATTTTGGCGTTTTCATGAGAGAAGGTGAGCTCAGGTCCTTCCACTTGGCCATTTTGTCCTAGCCCCTAGGATCTGCCTTTCTCCTTACTTTTCTGCTTTTAAGTAAATGCTGACCCCTGGCTGGACTGTATCTTCATGCAGTTGGGAACAAGATGGGTCACCTTCCCGTGTCCCTAGGACATGGACCGTAGAGGTTCCCTGAATGCATGGAATGCATGGGATCCAAGACATGGTCACAGATCAGTGACGTCTTGGTCAAAATGTTTCTGGAAAAGTATGTCTGTTAAACGTGCAAGGCTCTACCTGCAGTTCAAAGAAGTCCCAGGGCTTCTCCAGGTGTCACGGCTTCCAAGCCTGGCCACTCCAGCTTCGTGCCCCCACGCCCTTGCCCTGAGCTGGGCCTGCAGACTTACTCTCTGGTGTCAGAGGCAGCCTCCTGTGCTGTGTCTCCATGTCCCTTGGGGCACTGTGGGCTGTGACTCACTTCTGACAAATGCAACAGAAACGCTGACAGCAACGCCCATGTGAGAGCATCTTCTCACAGACAAAATCACCTGAGCTTTGTTTGAATGCAACACGGAAAACTTGACTCAAACTGATCTACCAGTGTCTTCAGAGAATTTCAATTGAGTTTTTCACAATTCCTATTCCCTTGTATCAGAAATATTTTTAATTAGTAAAAACAGAGGCCACACTCGCAATCAGGTAAAAACCATGTTTTCCTTTTAATGGACACCGTTTCCTCTCTTGCCTTGCAGTCTGGTAATGATTAGGTCCCCACCTCTCAGGAGCACTGCATCCGAACAAGCTGAGACAGAACTAGTGTGACCACGGTCCCAGAGCAGAGCTTTTCACTTACGAAGGGATTCACTCAGAGTCCAAAGCTCTGCTTTCTAACCGCAGAAAACCTGGAGCTCAAGGCAAAACTGGAAACCAGAAGGAACCAGAAACGAAGCCTACTGCCTCCTCAAATACTCGAGGGCTGATCGTCTCACCTCTGCTACAAGGACTGGCCCCACTCCAGCATTTGTAAGGGAAAACGTTTTGTTTCTATTTCACTTTCCAACTGGGTATAAAATCTAGTAAAAGGAACACAAAGAATCAAAACAAATCAGCTCACTCACAAAAGTCACTCCCAGATAGTGATTTCTGGTTGCTGAGATGATTCAGCACGTTATTTCCAAGTGGCAAAATTCAGGACAATCTGAGGACTCAAAAGTGGCAGCGACATTCACCAACAGGTTCGTGTGAGACACAAATACACACAACCCCGTTTTTCAGTGTATATACGGCAAGGGGCCAAGACCCCAACCAGCACAATAACTTATTTTGTACATTACAGTGCACAGAACGGAGGGAAAAGACACTTTCCTGGAGACGTTCGTCTGGGCTCTGAAGGCGCTGGAGCCCAGTGCCCAGCCACCATTAGCTCGATGCCGCCTCCTCTTTGGCTGCACTGGCCTCGGAGGCAGCTGCTTCCCGTAAGGGATCTGCTGGCTTCTCCTCTTCCTCCTCCTCCTCCTCCTGGGGGTAGAGGTCTGGGTACTTCTGCATGCACTCCTGCATGGCCCGGAACTGGTCAACACAGTCCGACCCCTTGACATCCTCCTTGCTGTAGTGGAAGCAGGAAAAGGCTGCCTTGAACTGTTCCCCGCACGGGCCGCTGGCCATCCCCCCAAGGCATGGGCAGTTCCAGTTGATGTCTCCGTTTGGCAGGATCAGTCCTGGGACGGGAAGATGGGCAAGGAAGTGAGACAGGTTTCAAAAAAAGCAAACCCAAGTCCAGCCTCACAGGCATAATGGTAAGACGAACTGCTGCCTGGCCGGCACTGGCCGGCGGCCCTGCCTCTCCCTCGGGACGGGGTTTAAACTCCCAGCACAAGCCCACCCAGTGTTCCCGGCTCAGTCGGACAGAAGTCACCGTGGGCGGCTTTCTCCAGGTGCAGCTCTGCCGGGTGTGCGAAGCCGCCCCCGGGGCTGTGGCCGTGCCTGTGCTCAGGACTGCAAAGGGGAAACTGTTTAGCCCAAAGGCTTGAAGGGCGAGTCCTGGTCTCCCCCTTCCACACGGATGGTCAGGACGCCCCACGCCCTCCCTTCAAGCCCATCCTCCTCGGCTGCTCTCAGCTCAGCACAGCATGAGGACTGGAAAAAGCGAGGCTGGACGGTGCTCAAGGGGCGTGGGCGTGTCAGAGCACTGAGGCTCCACTTTGTCAAAGTGGGGAACTGTTCAAAGCGCAGAAGCAACTCCTAGGTCTGGCCTGATGGCCAGGACAGCACACGGCCCCTCCCACCCGAGGGAGACACACTCGTGTCCTGGGAGCGGTGGTGGCCGAGGTGGACACCCAGCCATAGCCAGAACATCGGACTGCCGCCCCCCGACCCCGGCCCCGCGCTCACCATGCTCCTCGTATGGATCATTGGGGTCGTCGGCCACCAGCTCTGCGTTGCTTGGAGTCTCGTGGTCTTCTTTGGTCACAAATATAATTCGATCCTTCCCTACAGTTTGGAGAATAGAGGGAGCCACGTTTCACCAGGAGCTGTGACTCAGCCTGAACCCAAACAGCCAGGGAAGCCTCGTGTGAAGCCTGTCCCACCTGAAACCTTGATGCGCTCCCCCTGGGGACCCGCTCGCTGCCGACCTGGGGGACAGTCTAGTGGCCACCAGTGCACCGTGTGCCTGTGGCTGGAATGGGGAGGAGGGACACTGTGCATCCTCAAGCGGGAGACGAGACGCCCCCCGCTCAGATGCAGCTGCCCTCAGTCCCGAAGCCTGCTGACGTCCGACAGGCCGGTCTTGCCCTGCTCAGAACTCCCACGGCTCCACAGCTTTGTTCCTTCCCGTGGCCTGTGAGCACCTTGTCCAGGCCCCGAGGGACCTGCCAGCAGGCGCCCTCAGATGACACCGGGCCCGCCAGGCTCCTCCCGCAGAGGCTTGGGAAGAGCACCAGGGTGGCCGTGTGACGCTCAGAGAAGTGTGCGGGTGAGGACAGTGCGGGGGCGAGACACCCTCCCCTCGCTGTCTCCCAGGCGGTGACAGCGATGACAGCTGCCACTCCGCACACACAGGGCCACGGCCCACTCCAGAACACCTGGGGTGTCTGCTCAAGCACCCCACACTTGACTTCAGAGAGTGCGGCTCGTCCCACATGGCCCAGGGGAGGATTGGGGCCAGGCAGCCAGGGCACACTAAAGAACCTAAAGACCTCAGTGATTCCGACCAGAGTTCAGAACACTCGAAAGCAGCCCACAGAAGTGCTGTGCTAAGCAGAAGACATAAGCTGACACGACTGCTCAGCTCAGCCCTGACAGTTTTGTTTACCAAGATCTCAGCCGGGCCCAGCCCAGTGCGGAGGCTGGTGTTCAGCCCAGAGCCAAGGGGTCCAAGCCTGGACAGTGACTTGTCTTTGTGTCCCCAGCCCTGGTGCCCGATGGTCCTCATGCTGGTTGCATAGACCCGGTAACAGTCAGGGCTCGACACCAGGTGCGGGAAGAGCAGAAGCGCAGCCCTGAGCAGGAGAGGTAAGGCCGGCTCAGGAGGGTCCGGCTCCCGGTGCCGTCAGCATCCCAGAGGCTCGGGGCTGGGCTTCAAACCGGGGCTCAAGCACACAACAGCCATGTGACCTCAGGCACCTCCCAGCTCAGCCCATCTCCCTCCCTGGATCGGGCAAGGGTCAAGAGACTCCGGAAAATAAGGAAGTGAAGTGAGTTTCTAGGTGCACCTGAAATTCTGCTCAAAACACAGTAACTTTTTCAGCGGCATCAAATGACAAACATCTCTGGGAAGAGAGAACGGGGCTGGAGATGTCGGTGAGGACTGGAAGTGGGAGAGCGGGTAGAGCAGTGCTCTTGCCTGAAAGACTGAAGAAAGGTCCCGCAGAGTCCCCCAAAGGGGCAGGCCCCAGAGCCTGGCGGGACTGGCAGTCGGAGGCCCCGGGGCTCTGACAGCAGGAGCTCAGGGGTGGCTGAGGACCGGAGGAAGGACGGAGCAGTGAGGCACACCGACGCCCTGGACCTGCAGCCGTGCTCTGCACCCACACCGACTCCCGTCCTCCTCTCCCCCCTCCCTCTTGCGCCCGGCGGGCTCTGCCTTCAAGTCCATCCACAAAGACCCACATCCCTCACCTGCAGGACTCCCTCCATTCAGCATCTCCTTGCTTCTACGCAAAGACGCTGAGCACACGACTACCTCGGGGAGCCGCCAGGCCGTTCTGTCGCCCAGGAGCATATTCAGATCCCTCATAGCCACGTCTCCCTGACTTCAGCCCTCCTGCTCAGATGGCATCTTCCTTCATCTCTCCCCATTGCCCTTAACCCGCCTCTTCTCACCCACCGTTACATGTCTGTTTACCACCCATCTCCCCAACTGAAATGTCAACTCCTCATGGGCAAGGATGTGTTTGTTCCATTCACTGCAGTACCCCAGAGCCTAGTACAGTGCCCAAGAGAGTGAGTAGTCAGTATTTGTTGGAAAAGTGAATGTGGAAATGAACTCTGAATTCAGACATGAAGACCCCAGACCCAGCAAAGTATGGAGGATAGATGGCTATCACCATGAAGTAGGTTACAGGAGAAAATAAAACCTTGCTTGGGTGGTCTTATTTCCCCTAGAACACATCATCTCTTGGCACATCCAACCTGACCCCTCCACTGCCTCCACCTCTGCCAACTGCCTCTGCCATGTGATCGGGGCTGGCACATCACAGGTGCTCAGTAACTGTTTGCTGACAGGACAGGAAAGAGCAGGACCAGCATTAGAAAAGGAGGAACAAAGGCGGGAGCAATGTGGCCCTGGGCCAGGGAGCCAGCCTGAGTCCATGCTGCCTAACACCTTGAATGACCAGCCTTTGACCCCAAGGCTGGGGGGCGGACCCCTGAAGTCAAGTGCATGGGCAAGTAATTCCCTCAGAAAAGGGCAGCCAGGTGTACAGGTTCACTGGGTAACGCTGCAGGGGATGTGGCCCATCTAATGCTCTCAGCCTGCTGCAACGCAGACAAGCCAAAAGAGAACAAAAATACACCAGGTGATTTCAGAGAGTTTAGGCTGTGGAAGGCACAAAGGCCAGGGAAGACCTCACTGCGGAGGTGGCATCTGCACGGAATCTTAAAGGACGAGGAAGCAGCCGTGAGAAGAGCTGGGGGAGGGATGCACCGGGCAGAGGGGACAGCAGAGGCCAGCCTGGCCGCACAGTGACAGGCGCGTCGAGACCAGCAGGGGCCAGGCCAGGCCGCGCTCACAGGGGCCTCCATCAGGACGGCGCTGGGGCAGGTCCTCCAAGTCCCACGGGAAGCACAAAGGCTCCACGGATGGGAGACGGGCCAGGGGGCAGTGGCATGGGTAGGTACCGATTAGGCAAGGCCTAAAGTGAGCGCTTTTAGTTCTTATCCCCAAAGAAAGAAAGAGGTCTTTGATCCAGGAAAAGATACAGGTCTGAACACTTAGCTCTGCTTCCCAGATAACATGCGACTCCTAGAAACCCACAAGAATGAGGATTGTAGCCTCATTATACCCAGAAGGCTAAAAAAAAATTTGCTACATAAAGGAGTGAATTAGACTCAGAAAGATGAAATAAAGAGACCTAGTCTCTAACTGGTGAGAACAGAGGACTTCTGCTCATGGCAGAGTTCAATATCCATCAATGGAAACTACTTCTCAGAGACAATACTGAGTATTATGGCCTTGCGACCCAGGGAAGGAGGGTTCCAGAGCAGAATGGGGTACTGAGAAACTGCTGTTTGGTCACTCAGTCGTGTCCAACTCTTTGCAACCCCATGGAATGTTGCTCTGTCCATGGGATTTTCCAGGCAAGAATACTGGAGTGGGTTGCCATTTATTAGAATTCCATGGACTGTATAGTCCAGGGGGTCCCAAAGAGTCGGACAGGACTGAGCGACTTTCACTTTCCTCCTCCAGGGGATCTTCCCCATCCAGGGATCGAGCTCCAGTCTCCTGCATTGGCATCTGAGCCACCAGGGGAGGCCACTGGTAAAAGGCTTAGCATTTTAAACTGAGCTGTGAGCTGAAGCTTGACAGGCTTCTCCTAACTGAAGCATGACCTTGGGCAGGTCACCTCCATCTCTGGGCTCAGGATTTCCTGAAATGACTGAGTGAGCTGGAGTATTCACTAGAGAGTTTCCAGGGAGTTCCACTTCTCTCTGGAACTTCATAGTCTCAAATATCCACCCTCCCCCTCACCTGGCATGGAGAAGGTACTTCATGAATATCTGAGCAATGAATGAAGACTAACTTCTCTTTACAAGACTGGACAACTGGGCCTGGAGGGTTTGGGTGTCAGCTCAGGGACAGTTCGTGGTTGCGCGGGGAGGCCCTCGGACAGCGGCCTGGAGACTTCCTAGGTGAGAGACCGCAGGCGGGGACCAACTTTTGTTTTTCTGCGGGATGTCTTCCCAACGGAGGGCTCCCTGGAGTCCACTGGGCACCAGACGGGGAAGCTCTGGAATCAGACCGCGAGTCTCCAACCTCAGCTCCGCGAGTAGCCGGCCGCGTGGCTCAGCCAAGTCACCTCTGCGTCTTGGTTTACTCTTGGGTTAAGAGCAGGGCCTGACCCGTGCCCGCCGGCGGCACTCCCACCGCCAGCACCGCGCCCACCGAGGGGCGACCTTCCCGGACACTTAGAGGCGGTGCAAACGAGAACACGTGGTGTGTGGCGAGCGGCGTAGCAACATAATTAGTAATCACCACATTTCCCGTTACCAGCCTCAGGCAGCGCACTCGCACCGCCCTAACTCCCGGGCCTAGTTTACAAGTCCCCCCCACGTGCTGTTCCCTCCGAGTTCCGGGTTCGAGTCTTTCGGCGACCCGGGAAAGCCTTGTTCCTCCGCGGGCTTCGGTTTTCTCATCCGAAAAGTGGGGCTGGCGACCCGCCGCCAACCCGCACCCTCCTTCCAAGAACTTGTGCCCCGCGCCCTCAGTGGGGGTGCTGCACGGGCCGCGTGTCCCTTGCAGGCCCTCGGAGGCCGTCTCCACGCAACCCGCCCTCCTACCTTCCTGCCGGCAGTAGGCCATGATGCAGCCCTGCACTCCGACCTCGCGGCGATCGCGGCAGCGGCCTCACGCCGTGACCTCTCCGCCGCGGGGCGGGCGGCTTGGAGGCCCGCGCGGATCCGCCCCCCAGGCCTGCCCGCCGCGCGCCTGCCTCGGCGCTTCCAGTTCGGCGCGGTCAGCCGGTAACTACATTTCCCGGCAGGCTGCGCGCCTCGCGGCCACGCCTCTGACAGTAGGAACTACATTTCCCAGAATGGCTTGCAGTGCGCGGGCTCGTCAGTGAGGTGTCGGTGGGTTACAACGTTCGGAAAGCACCCGACCCAGGACTACGTTTCCCAGGAGGCAGTGCGGCACGGCGAGCGAGAACCAAAAAAGCCTGGGCGTCCTGGGCGGTAGCTCTGTGGCGCGTCCCGGGCTCTGGGATTGCCCCGCTGTCTGCAGCACTCGGGCGGCCGAGAGGTCGCGGACTCAGTGCTGCGGCCGTAAACCCTACTCCACGCTGAGCCGAGCGAGGCGGGCGGCGACCGGGCCCCACCATGGCCGCGAACGTGAGTGTCTCCTGGCCCGCCAGCCACACCCAGGCCTCCCGGTCCTCCGGCTCCCTCTTCCCGCGGCCGTGTGGCGGCCCCCTGCCCGGCGGTCCCCTTAGTCCATCCCGCCCGCCTCCCTCTCACACCCCTGTCCGCTCCTTCCGGCAGCTGTGCCGTCTGTCTTGCTCAGCCCGGCCCGACTCCTTGGGTCCCGCGGTGTTGGGGACCGGGCCTCTGGTCCGTGGCTCCGGCTTGGGGTCCTCTGGTGCGCAGCCCCTCCCCGCAGCCCTTTCCTTCGTTCCCGGTTCCCTCCTGGACCCTCGGGGTTGTCACGTGTGCGGACTTGGAGGGCCGGACGGGGCCTCAGAGAGGTGGCCAGTCCACGGGGGCGGTGGGGAAGCCGATCCGCCCGGGTGGAGCTGTCCAGCGACGTGCTGTCCGGGGCGGGCTGTGAGCTCCGTGCCCAGCGGGGTATGTAAAACCGGGGCTGTTAGGATGCACAGGAGCGCAGGCTAGCTGGGGAGCGGAGACTTCAGGGAGGCGGGCAGAGGGGGCATTTCCCTACGGCCGGGCGCTCGTCCTCCTAGCAGGGGTTTAGTTGCAGAGCCCCTCGCTGAAGGTGGTGCCCTGGAAAGGCTGCTGGCCTCCTGCCAGCAGCCAGCTTTTCTCAGGAACCTTTCTGTTTAAGCCAAACATTCATTCAATAAACTGAGGGGCACTTCTCACCAGGGTGTTGGACGAAGAAGGAGCTGGTGACTCAGGCTCCGCTTCTCTGTGAGTGTCTGAGCCAGCTCGGAACACTGCCAGCCGGGCACTCCCTCCCTCTTGCTTTGGTTGAGTGTCCTAGCCACTCTCCGCAGCTCTGTTACACCCTTTCCAGGTTCCTCCTCTGTCCCCAAGCGTCCTCTCTGCCTCCCACACCCCCTGAGAGGCCAGGGTTTCGTCACCCGCAGCCCCAGTACACCCTGCCTGGTTTCGGGAGGCGGAGAAGCCCTAAGTGGTGCCCCTGGAGGCGGTCCCCCAGATCAGGGTCTGCGGGGGCGGGGGAGGGGAGCCCTGGGCTATGTCAGGAGACAGGCGTGCCCCCAGACCACCAGCAGGATATCTTACAGATACGAACTTCCCAGCTGGGAAGCAGGCTTGTCCAGGGCCCCCACAGCCAGCTTGGCGGGTCATGTGAAGGTGTGGCAGGCTCTGGCGGCAGGCCCACCTGGGGAAAGATCCAGATTCTTCCTCAGTAGCTATGTGGCCTTAATTTCTTGGGATTTTTGTTTCCTCACGGGCTCAGTTACTGTGAAGTTTAAGGAAGACTGTGCTTTTAGCACAGCGCTTGGTGCACCGTAGGTACTTAATACATTAAAAACCAGTTTATCTTCAGTCCTGATGGGCGAAGAACCTCTTGGGTACGTAGGGTTCTGATCTTTGCCAAGGAGTGTAGATGAATTTGGGTATCCTCTGCCACCAAACCTTCGTTGATTCACCCAGTAGTGGGGTGCACATTTACAGGGACTGGGGAGCCCCGTGCCGAAGAAAGATCTGAAGATGGTGGGCTGGAGCAGGAAGGACACAGGATTCTTAATCACTGTAACCTTCGTCCAGTAATGGAGTTACTGTTGACATCTGTGCTTTATAAATGAGTCAACAGGATCAGAGGGGTGGAAGCTTACCTAGGGTTACATACGAGGTGATTTTCAGGGCCTGTAGGTCAGCCTCTGTTGCCGATGCACTTGTAAGTCTGGGGTAGGGGAGCGGGTGGGGAGGAAATCACCACCATCCTTGTTTACTGGGAATTTGGTCTAGAATGTGGGCCGGGTGTGTCATGCCAGCCTGAGGATCACCTTCTTTCTTCTCTTCAAGGCCATCTGAGCCCCTTGTCTTGATGTTGGCTGTTAGGGGTTGCTGGGGTGAGGCCCAGGAGGAAGCCAGGCCTTCCTGCACCCAGGTTGGGGACTGGCTTCTTTTCCTGCCCTGCGTGCCTGCCTCGGGCTCCCAGTGTTCAGCTCCTGTTGTGGCCCCAGGCGTGAGGAAGGCAGTCGGGAGTAGAGTGGTAGAGAGTGGCCCCCAGTCTGCCCGGATATGAATCCTGAGTCCGCCTCTTAGAGGCTGTGTGATGTGGACTGGTGCCGTAAGTGCTGACCCCGTTTTCCTGTCTCTGAAATGAAGTCGTGATAGCACCCACCTCCTTGGCTTGTGCAGGACTGGCTTCTGATATACTGGAGTGTTTGCCATTGTAATCATCATAATGGCTGATGGTCACCTATCTTCCTGCAGCAAATTGTTCCACTGACGTTTCCATGTGGCTTGGAAGGTCAAGACCATTGGTGATGCTTGTGTTAGAGGAAGCTGGGTCGAAGGGGTCGAAGTCCATTCAGGTGGAGGGGCCTTTTCAAAATGAGAGACTTGAATCCATGAATTATGTTCAGTTTGGCTGAGCAGAGATAAATTAACAACAGATAAGGCAACTGCTGTCTGTCGTGGTTGCAAAGAATCATTTATTTGATGTCCTTCCCAATAGACAAAATTTCTGTTATAATCCGCGATCTGTAGGGTTTTCTGAAAGCTGACTGTAAAAAGAACTTGTTACCAATTTTTTTTTTAAGTGTCTCAATAAGACCCTGACAATAATGTAATGTGTCCCTTGAGCCACCATGGGGGAAAGTTTCCAAAAATACTGTTTTCCCTAGGAACCATTTTCTCAGGTGCACGGTGAGTTAAAGGAGATACATGCTGGAGTCGTGGCAGTTGTGCTCCAGGCATGAGGCTGTGTGTTGTCTGCTTTTTAAATTGGGTCTAAACCGTATTTGGGTGGTGGGGTCAAAATTCCCCTTTTTGGGGCCGTGTCTGTTTCTCTTCTTTAGTGTCAGTTTCATGAGCCTGTGGAAGGAACGCTTCCACTGGGTTAGGAGTGTTCCCTGAGAGCAGTGGACATTCTGGAGGGTGGATCGCATGGGGATTTAAATCTTCACATGAGGATGGGGCAGCGTCACGGCCTCAGTGAGCTGATTGCCTTTAGCTTCCATAGCATTGAATTAGAATGCCCAGTGTTTTTGGTAGTTACTGTTTTGGCAGTTGTATAACAATAACTCTTCTACTTTTTTTTATTAGGTTGTCCTGAAGAGGTTAAACACCTCACTGTTTCCATAGCATTCCCGAGTCGTGTGTCACTCCTGAGGCACAGCGGCTGGCAGCGTAGATGGTGCCATGGGGTCGTTAGCTAGAGTTAAGGCAGTTCATTCAGTTTCTGCTTTGTTTCTGGTAAATAAGAGCTTTTAATGATGTCCACTGTGGGCGTTACTGCACGTCCATCTTGGTAACGTCCCTGCTCCTCCCTTAAGTAGGACCATCTGTAGATTAAATCAGATCAGCATTATCGATACGGGCTTCCTGGGAACAAGAAGATGACCTAACTGGTTCACAAAATGCAGTCGAGGCTGTTTTCTTCCTGTGGCGCTGGAAGCAGAGCTGCAGGTTAGGGTTCTCACGTGGAACCCAGGTAGTGCGAAGCAGCGACACCTCACGGGAAGCTCGACAGCTCCCAGAGCAGTGCTGAGAGCGGTGAGAGTGCGAAAGAAACTCACCTGAGTGCGGGCCAGAGACCGAGCAGGGAGCCCTGTTCCTGTTGTTCGGTGGCCTTACGGGAGAGCTGTGACTGGAACAGCCCTTGTACAGGGGGAAGTCCTTTGGCTGCCGAGTCTAATTTAGTTTGAGAGCCTAAAGCAAGTCATGAAACAGTTTTGTAAACGCGTCAGTTACTGTATAGACATAACTGTGTATGAATGACAAAAGACTTAAAATCTTGGTTAAAGACTTGATTACAATACAGTTGTCAAGGAAACTATTTCTATAGCATACAACATTTTAAGAGAGTAGCTAGAATCATGAGTGACACATACCAGGAGATTTCCAATTTTAGGAAATTCCTACAATTTCTAGAATGTTTATATTAATATATTTATCCACACAATATGACCTAAGAATTTATCATTACTCAGTGTTTCCCATGTAATGTAACATATCAAATGGGCCCAGTTAGCTTAATATCTCTTTGAGATGTTCAGGGGTTTTCTGAAGCATCCCACAGTTAGCTGGAGGTCAAAAAAGCTTCATTAAGAATTTGATTTGAGGAAGTTTATGAAAGATAACAAAAAGTTTTAAATGTTTGACTAAGTAGGATCATAAGTCACTATGAAACAATATTTATTCACTTAACCAAAGTGATAATAAAAAGATTTCAAAAGTAAATAACAGAAAGCTACAGCAGATAAGTTAGAGGTAAAAAAACTTTATGATCTTTACCAAAAGCACTATTTTGAGAAGGCTTTGTCTTCACAGAGAAAAAAGTTGGTTTTCACCATTTTACCTTTATTATTAATATTCATTCGTTTAATTAAATTCAGTCTGATCTTAGTAAGTCCTGGCCATGTACAAAACTTTTCTCAGGGTTCCCTTTTTAAAATTAATTTTTAAAAGTATATGTTACTTTATAGTTAGTCTTTGAGTAAAGTGCAGAGTATATTTATTAATACTCTCAAACATATTTAGTCTCTCTGTGTGTGTCTTGCTTCAATCATGTCCAACTCTGCGACCCCATGGACTGTAGCCCACCAGCCTCCTCCATCCATGGGATTTTCCAGGCAAGATCACTGGAGTGGGTTGCCATTAAAGTAGGTAATTAAAGACTTATTTAGCAATTAATCTTTCAGTATTTTCTTATTAAGAAAATAATCTAGACATTTAGTGAATTCCATCATTTGACTTAATTTAGCAGAACTTGATAACTCTAAAATTTCAAATCCCCCCAAATTGGGAGAAACTGTCTTTAGGTGTGAAAGTGAAAGTCTCTTGGTTGTGTCTAATTCTTTGCGACCCCATGGGTTGTACTGTCCATGGAATTCTCCAGGCCAGAATACTGGAGTGGGTAGCCTTTCCCTTCTCCAGGGGATCTTCCCAACTCAGGAATCAAACCAGGGTCTCCTGCATTTCGGGTGGATTCTTTACCAACTGAGCTACCAGGGAACTGCTGTTTTTAGGTACACATACCCTAAAAGAAAATTATTCTTAAAGAATTCACCCCAAAACTTATTCATTATTTATGAAAGTATTACCATACCAAGTTAATTTTTTTGTTGACACATTTTATAACCAGGATAATGTGAGCATATTAACTTTCAGGAAACCTGGGTACAGTTAAAATGTTACACTTAATGATGACTGTAAAGCCATGTCTGTATTAATTAGACCATCAATTTTAACTTGTTTTCTTCCATTAAAGATTAATCCTAGATTATGTGATCCTTTGACAGTTTGGGCTAGTTTAAGTGAAATATTTGATTTGTAAACATTTACTTTTAAGTCAATTAAGTAGAACTCTTTTACATTAATGTTGATAGTAACCTCTGAAGTTAGAGATGGATCATACTTGTATATACAGACATACATATATCCAGATACACACAGAAATAGCTGTCCTGCTTGAGTTTTACAAAGATCTGTCTTCATACACACATACACACCCTTTTTTTTTCCTTTCGAGTCTACTACTTAAGCCAAATAGACTCTAAAACTGGAAAGAAGAAAAAAAGGTCAATCTTCATCCCAGTTCCCAAGAAGAAAAGTACTAGAGAATGTTCAAACTATCAGATGATTGCTCTCACTTCCCATGCTAGTAAGGTTATGCTCAGAATCCTTTAAGCCAGGCTCCAGCAGTACTTGAATTGAGAACTTCCAGATGTACCAGCTTAGAAAAGGCAGAAGAACCAGAGATCAAATTGCCAACATTCACTGGGTCATAGAGGAAGCAAGGGGATTCCAGAAAAACATCTACTTCTGTTTCATTGACTCCATTAAAGCCTTTGACTGTGTGGATCATAGCAAACTGTGACAAACTCTGAAAAAAAATGGGAATAACAGGCCATCTTACTCATCTATTTGAGAAACTTGTATGCAGGTCAAGAAGCAACAGTTAGAACCTTAAATGGAACAACTGAATGGTTCAAACTTGAGAAAGGAGTATGACAAGGCTGATTATTGTCACCCGCTTATTTAACTTACGTACAGAGCACACCTCATGCAACACCGGGCTGGATGAGCTACAAGCCGGAGTCAAGACTGCCAGGAGAAATATCAACAACTTCAGATACACAAACGATACCACTCTAATGGCAGAAAGCAAAGAGGAACTAAAGAGCCTCTTGACGAGGGTGAAAGAGGAGCGTGAAAAAGCTGGCTTAATACTTTGGCCACCTGATGCACAGAACTGACTCATTGTAAAAGACCCTGATGCTGGGAAAGATTGAAGACGTGAGGAGAAGGGGGCGACAGAGGATGAGATGGTTGGATGGCATCACCGACTCAATGGACATGAGTTTGAGTAAACTCCAGGAGTTGGTGATGGGCAGGGAGGCCTGGCGTGCTGCAGTTCATGAGGTCGCAGAGTTGGACACAAACTGAGCAGCTAAACTGACCGAAAGCTCAGTGTTAAAGAAACTAAGCTCATGGCATCAGCCCCATCACTTCATGGCAAATGGAGGGGTAGGAAAGGTAGAAGCTGTGACAGATTTCCTCTTCTTGGGCTCTAAAATCACTGTGGATGGTGACTGCAGCATGAAATTAGAAGACAATTTCTTCTTGGAAGGAAAGTTGTGACAAACCTAGATAGTATTTTAAAAAGCAAAGACATCACTTTGCTGACAAAGGTCCATATAGTCAAAGCTGTGGTCTTTCTAGTAGTTAATGTACAGATGTGAGAGTTGGACCATATAGAAGGCAGAGTGCCAAAGAACTGATGCCTTCAAAATGTGGTGCTGGAGAAGACTCTTGAGAGTCCCTTGGACTGCAAGGAGATCAAACCAGTCCATCCGAAAGGAAATCAACCCTGAATACTCATTGGAAGGACTGATGTTGAAACTGAAACTCCAGTACTTTGGCCACCTGATGTGAAGAACTGACTCACTGGAAAAGACCCTGAAGCTGGGAAAGATTGAAGGCGGGAGGAGAAGAGGGCAACAGAGGATGAGATGTCTGGATGGCATCACCAACTCGATGGACATGAACTTGGGCAAACTCCAGGAGATGGTGAAGGACAGAGAGGCCTGGCATGCTTTAGTCCATGGAGTTGCAAGGAGTTGGACATGACTTGGCAACTGAACCACAATAATTAAGCCAAGACAACAGACTCAAGGCAATGTGGGATGTGTTCACATTTCAAGAACATGATAAGGGGTATAACTTCAGGCTTTCTCCTAGCAATACTTATGTTCCCTCAAGCTCTGAATTTTTTGTCAAGCCAGCTTTCTCTACAGTGTTGGAAGATCTAAGGAGCTCCCTCCTGGTCATTTAAGAGTTAAGTGTTTGCAGGCATTGGTTTTGTCATGAAGCCAGCCAAGAGACCTTTCGGCCTTTGAGGGGTGGTTTCCCGTTATTACTTTGGCAGCCTGATTCAGATAGGTTCTCAACAACTTTCTGAGGGCCCCGTGATGGAATGAATGTGCGTCTGGCTCCCTAAGGGGTTCCCCTGGGGTTGGCTTGACTCTCGTGTCTGGGCTTCTCCTTCCAGCAGGTAAAACCGCTGTGGGTGCTGGGAGTGCCGGCTGATCAGCGTCACGGTGCTCCCCAGCGGGCAGAATGCACTCACTGGTTCTAGCGGGGCTCCCTGTGGGACCGCTGCGCGTCTCGAGGACCGGTGCTCAGGCACTTCCACTGGGGTCTCCGCCGCCTGAGAACTGCTCCTGGCTGAAGGAGCAAGCGTCCCTTCACGTGGAGCTGCGCGGGCTCAGTCTCCTTCCACTGGCGGTGTGTTCACATCATGTATACAACAGTCTTTCCAATTTAAGTCAGTCTGTTAAGAAAGACCAGTGAGCCCCGTTCACCCCAAAGCACATCCCAGGTCTCTGCCTAGGAGATGGTCCAGTAATCCCTTTAAGACCCCAAGTCCCAAGAGGAACAGCTTGAGTAAAACTCAGAGTGGGATTTGAAGCAACGATGTCCAGGTGTCAGGAGAACTCAGGAAAGCACCGAAGGAATGCAGAGAAGCGGATGGTGCTCCAAGGATCGGTGCTTGTACCAGGGCCTGATTTGGGGTGGACTCCAGGTATCCTCTGGTGGATGTGTCTGACAGTCCCTCAACTACGCCAATCAAATGTGGATGAACATTTAGTTAACAATCAAATCAAGAAGAAAAAAGGGCATTTTATTTGAGCCAAACAGGATTATAACCCTGGAGACAGCCTCCCAGAAGCTCTGAGAACTTCCACCTGCTAGAAGTTGAAGACACAGTTGTGAGCATTTCTGGGACAAAGGATCGTACATGAAAATGGCATACTGATGCTTTACATATGCTTCACCAGGGATATGTAGTCCAGGTAGGCGTGTGTACAAAGCAAGCAGCAAGTCACCATGGCTCCTTCCAGAGCGGAGAAAGAACACTGCTGTTTTAAGAAGTTTCATTGCTGACGTCAGAAGAAAGGGGAAAAGGTCCTTAGAGTTGAGCAGGCGCTCCCATGTTTGAGAAGGTCTGGTCAGTAATGCAGATGCAGACTGCACGTGAGGGAGGGAGAAGGCCCACACGGCACAGAGTTTTATGTTCAAATTTTCGTGTCCTGCCCTCACATATAAGTGACATTTCACCAGCTTGTAAATGAGTATTCATAGAAGCTTTGTTCATAATCGCTAGGAACTGGAAATATCCAAGGGATCCATTGACTGGTGAGTAAATTGACAGATGTGGAATTCTACTTGGCTATTAAAAGGAGCAGACTACTGATACCATGACACAGATGACCCCAAGCATTACGCCGAGTCCACGGATCTGGACAGAGGAGCTCATGCTGTGTCGTGATCCATTCATACCACGTTCAGGAAGAGGCAGAACTAAATCGTAGTGATACAGATTCAGATCACTGTTACCTCTGGGCGGTGGGGAGATGGAGTATTGGCAGGGAGGGGCCACAGGGAGCTTTGGGTGAGTGACGTGGTTTGTGTGTTGATGAACATGGCTATGCACTTGTCAAAACTCAACACAGTCTGTGCACTTTTAACATATAGAATTAAAACTCAGTAAGAACTGAGTGTAAATGCAGTTTGTTTTTTGAAAACCAGTTTTCTTTTTGTGTTTTTTCAGTATTCCAGTACGAGTAACAAGAAAGATCACGCCAGAATCACAAACAAGTCCCAGCCGGGCTTCTTGGAGCGGCTGAGCGAGACCTCGGGTGGAATGTTCGTGGGGCTCATGACCTTCCTGGTCTCCTTCTACTTAATCTTTACCAATGAGGTATGATGTTCGGGGTCCCTCTGTGCAGAGTGAGAGTCCCTGCAGTATCGCAACGCAGAGGCTGGATGTGGTAGTAAGGGTCAAGATTTTATGGGGATGAGGGTTGGATTAGTCAGTTCTTTCTCTTGTGCCCCGCCTCATGACTAACATAAGCAGGAGGGGGAATGGATCTATTCACATACCTGAAATGAGGGTGAAAGAAAAAGTGAAAAGTGAAAGTCGCTCAGTCGTGTTTGACTCTTTGCAACCCCATGGACTACAGTCCATGGAATTCTCCTGGCCAGAATCCTGGAGTGGGTAGCCTGTCCCTTCTCTAGCAGATCTTCCCAACCTGGGAATTGAACCAGGGTCTCCTGCTTTGCAGGTGGATTCTTTACCAACTGAACTACCAGGGAAGCCCCCAAATGGAGATAGCATCAGCCTCAGGCATAGTTGGACCCAGGCATTCGTGCTGGGTCACCAGGAGCCTCTCTCTCCGTCTGCGGCCCCGCGGGCTCTTCCCCGCTGGGGGCAGAGGTGGCCCAGCAGCTCTCGTGTCACAGCCCAGGGGAGAGGGGGTGCCTCTGCTTCTGAGTCCGTTTAGCCAAAGTCGCAGGGCGACCTCCAAGCGTCCCCCGTCCTCCCTGAACCACTCCTTGTGGCCAGTGGACACGGGATGCGGCTGGCGAGGCCCGGGTCACATTGACAGCTGTGCTATCAGCCCTAGTGAGGCACATGGATGGAGGGGAGGGGAGGAGAAGCTAGAGAAAAACGGGGCGGGGCGCAGGGCAGAGGCAGCCGCTGTTCTTCCTGGCGTGGTGGGGCTGTGTGGGGTGCGGGGAGGCCTGGAGAGCGGGCGTCTGGGTTCTCCTTGCCCAGGGCAGCGGGTGCCCGGCAGCTGAAATCCCTGCTCTCCGGCATGCACAGGGCCGCGCGTTGAAGACGGCGACCTCGCTGGCCGAGGGGCTCTCGCTGGTGGTGTCCCCCAGCAGCATCCACAGCGTGGCCCCGGAGAACGAGGGCAGGCTGGTGCACATCATTGGGGCCCTGCGGACGTCTAAGGTAGGCCGGCGGTGCTCGCTGACCGCTGGGGCTCGGGCCCCTCGTGGGCGGCGTCTGGAGGCCTGGGCCTCGGAAACAGAGACTCGGTGTGAGTCCCGCTGCACCGCTCAGCGGCTGTGGACCTGTCTCTCCCGAGTCTCAGAGTCTTCCTCTGTCAAGTGGGGAGGAGCCTTGTAACAACCCGAGGGGGCTCTGCAGAGCGGCCTATTCAGGAGCGCCCCTCCTGGCACAATGGCCCTTGGCCAGAGCCTGACGCAGAGGCGCATTAGTGGTGACGACGGGCGTGCGTGCCTGGGGCAGGGTCTCCTGTCTGAACACCCTTCATGCTGCCCGGCCCTGCACCCCCGGGCTTGCAGCCTGAGCCGTGCATGCAGCTTGGGTCACAGGCTCCGCTCTTTGGGCGGGTGGCTCCCCTGACTCCCATGAGAGCAGCTGCGGAGTTCTCCAGGCTGTCCTGCCCTCTGGACCTGTTTCTCCCCAGCCTAGCTTCCCCTCAGCTGAGCGTTCTTGTCCTTTGTTTTCCTGGCCTGTTTCTGTGTGAAGCTCTTGTCTGATCCTAACTATGGGGTCCACCTCCCGGCTGTGAAGCTGCGGCGGCACGTGGAGATGTACCAGTGGGTGGAGACCGAGGAGTCCAGGTGAGGGGCCGGCTGGGGCTGCGGGAGGCACGGGGTTAGGGGGACGCACTGCCAGCCTTCACGTCAGCACTGCTGAAGGTCACCGTGGGAAGTCTTCTTTTCGGAGGAATGTCAGATTATCCCCCAGGGGTTGGCCCATGGTCTCATTTGGAGGTGGCAGGGGTCTCCTGCAGAGTGCCTGGGGGAAGAAAGTGGCTGGCCTGGCTCCCAGGGATTGCCACGTGTCTGGGCTGGTGTGGACCAAGCCTGCTCCGTGTGGGGAGTCTGGCCTGGGAGCCCGGAGGCCACTTCAGGCCAGAGACGCCTAGAGGTGGGGCCACCTAGGGAGCGGTGGGCTCACTCAGGCCGCCTGTGTTTTCCCGCAGGGAGTACACGGAGGACGGGCAGGTGAAGACGGAGAGGAAGTACTCCTACAGTGAGTCGCGGGCCCCTCCCTGCTCCCCGTGGCCCCCATCCTTCCTTAGCCAGCATCAGGCTCCTGGCGTGCTGGTCCTCGGAGCCCTGCTCCCCTGTCTGTCCAGCGAGGCTCCAGGAGCTGCCCCGTGGGCCCTCAGGTGGTCACAGGCTTGGATCAGAGGACATGGGGCTGGCAGGCCTCAAACCTGAGGTTTCCCATGGTTTCTGCGTTGTTCCCTCTGCTCAAAACAGACACAGAGTGGAGGTCGGAGGTTGTCAACAGCAGAAACTTTGACCGAGAGATTGGCCACAAAAACCCCAGGTGAGAACCAGCCCCTGGCAGCTTCCCAGCCTCCGTGTCCTTATCTGGGTAATGCGGCTGAGTTGCTTCTGTCTCGCGGGCTGATGAAATGTGGGCCGGGGCTCCGAGGCCTGCTCCAGTACCAGGAGCAGAGATGGGGCCTGACGCCCCTGAGCCTGGGCGACCATCCCTCCAACAGGGCCTGGGTGTGGGGCTGGGCCGAGTGCCTGGAGGGGTGGTCAGCGGTGGGCATCCGGAGATGGTCGCAGGACTTTCTGGAGTGTCCGCACTTCACGCCCCGCTTCAGGGACCCGGCAGAGGATGGTTAGCTCGGGCAGGGGTGAGGGTGTGGATACGGGTGTGATGCTGGGCAGGGCCCATGTGGGCTGTGGGCTGTGACGAGCCAGGCAGGGCCAGGAAGGGCCTTGAACATTCCCAGTGAGGCTTGGATGCTGGTGGCTGGGAATGGTCTGGAGGGGAGGGTGTGAAGCCCATGGTCGGGCTGTCTGATGGCTGGGGGGCAGGGTGGGACAGGCTGGCAGGGGTCCTGGCAAGATCATGAGAGGCTCTGGGGGACAGGAAGCCAGCGGAAGCTGCCCTTCCTCTGCAGGGGATGGGGTTGGGGAACGACAAGACTGCAGAGCCGGGCTGGCCTGGGCTGGCAGCAGCCCCCTGGGGGCTGACCCTGCCCAGCACCTCCCCCGGGACCCAGGCAGCTCCCACCCAGCGCCCCACATCACCAACAGCTCCCGCTCTCTCCCCAGTGCGATGGCCGTGGAGTCGTTCACCGCAACAGCCCCCTTCGTCCAGATCGGCAGGTTTTTCCTTTCGGCGGGTGAGTCTCAGGCTGTTAGGTGAGCCCCCGTGGCCCCAGGAGCCTGTGCTTCCGCCCGGCTGCCTCCCAGGTGCCGGGGCCCTGCCCTCAGTCGGTGGGTGCTTAAAGGGGTCTCCCGCTGCCCAGGGCGGGGGTCAGCCAGCACTTCTCCAGCGTCATACTTTTGGACTGGGGCCAGAGGGTAGGTGTGTCCCCAGGAAGGGGGACCTGTGTGGAGCCCCCCGAAACCTGCTCAGGGAGCAGCTGCCAGGTGTGGGTCCTCGCCGGGCTGAGCAGGCGGGGCTGAGAGCCCCTCCTCAGGCCGCCCTGGAGGGCAGTGCACAAAAGGCCTCCTGAGCCCTGGAGGGGCTGCTTCATCACAGACCCCGAAGGGCCGCCACAAAGAGGGGCTTGCAGGGGACAGCGTGGCTGTGAGACTGCCATCGAAACTCCTGGGGCTTGGCCCTGGGCCAGACCTGAGGAGGAAGAGAGGACACTTAGGGTCAGAGCGTTGGGGGGCAGGGGAGAGACCGCGTGAGCAGGGCCTGGCCTGTCTGCCGCGTGCTCTGGCCCTCAGCTGGTGCCAACCATGCCAGGCGGCCCAGCCTCATGCTGCGGGGCAGCTGGGAGCCAGGCCAGGACACCGATGACTGGACCTGGGGACCAGTGGCCGCAGGGCCGAGGCCCTCCCGGGGCTGTGGTCAGTGCTTGACGGGGGACGGCTTCCTGGAGGCTGAAGGGGCTGGCCCTGTGGAGGACGGGGTTGGAGCAGGGCCTCCGGGGGGGAGAGCGGGCGCGCAGAGGCCCTGGGGGGTGGCGAGCCGCAGGTGGCGCGCGGCTGGGCTTGTGGGGCGGGCTGGGGAGGCCGTCAGGCCGCGGATTTGCAGACGGGCTGCAGGGGACGGGCGCTGTTTCTAACCGCCCGCTCTCAGGGCTCATCGACAAAGTGGACAACTTCAGGACGCTGAGCTTGTCTAAGCTGGAGGACCCGCATGTGGACATCATTCGCCGGGGGGACTATTTCTACCACAGTGAAAACCCCAAGTACCCCGAGGTACCCGGCGGGTTCGGGCGCTCAGAGGGCCGAGTGCGGGGCCCTGGAGTACTGCCCCCGACAGTGTGTGAGAGTCTGAGCCCCCTTCAGCTCCATCCGGTTCCATGAGTTGCGACTGTACTCGGCCGGCGCCGGCGAGGCTCAGGGAGGGACTGTCCATGCAGTGGGGCTGCCTGGGCACGGGTGGGGCTGGTGTGACCCCCTCGTGGGCGGGTGGGTGCCCTGGGCCCCAGCTCGGACTCCCACCTCCCTCCCTCGCCTCTCTCCCGCCCCAGGTTGGAGACCTGCGTGTCTCCTTCTCCTACGCGGGGCTGAGCGGCGACGACCCTGACCTGGGGCCTGCTCACGTGGTAAGCGGCTCCCCAGGCTGAGGAGGGGGGCCCTTCCCGGGTGCAGACCCCCGGGCCCGAGCGCACGCTTAGGGCGCACCCCTCCCCCTCGTGTGTGCATGCCCTCGGGCCCCAGGCGGGGAGTGGCCCTGAGGGTCTCAGCGCGGCGCCTGAGGAGGCTCTTCCAGGCCTGTGCTGTCCCCGAGTGCTGACCTCTGCCCTGTAAACGCTCGCCCTGCGCTCCTGACCCTGTCCCCCCCGCCCCCCCGGGTCCTCCCCAGGGCTTTGGAGGGAGCAGCACAGCGGGAACACTTCCCCCAGGCCCCGCGGAGGCAGGGGCTGGGCGGCCTGGGGCCCCTCTGCCTTGGCGCACAGCGAGGCCGGCGCGGGCCCCGGGCAGATGGCCCCGCGGCTCTGAGCCGGAGTTCTCCGACCAGGTCACCGTGATTGCCCGGCAGCGAGGTGACCAGCTGGTCCCCTACTCCACCAAGGCGGGGGACACCCTGCTTCTGCTGCACCACGGGGACTTCTCGGCAGAGGTGAGCGGTCGTGGTGCACCTGTGCGCTGCCTTCCACTGCTCTGGTCACCAGCCGCCCCCACGGAGGCAGAGCCAGGGCTGGAGGCAATGGAAGGGGTGAGGTGTCCTTGTGTGTGCGGCCCGGCCACCCTCCGAGAGAGGGAGCAGTGAGCAAAGCAGAGAATCCCCCGGATGCTCGGAGGTGACAGACGCAACAGGAGCCTCCTGTGGCAGCGGGTGGCGAGCGACTTCTTTGCTGAGTCCCAAGTGAAGAGCCGGGTGGGTCAGTGGTCGCAGCCCAGGGCCCCCCTTGCCGGGGCCAGGACTCGGGTGGCCCTGTGCATGGAGGGGCAGGCAGAGGCCCCTCAGGGCCTAGTGTGAGCTTGGGTGAAAGGGTGAGGGGTGCAGGACCAGGTGAGTGAGGGCGGCGGCGCCCCCAGGGAGGCCTGAGTACCCCATCCCTGACAGAGGGTCAGGCCGCACACACACTCCCAGGACAGGCTGCAGAGAGCTACTTCTAGTCCAGTGGCTGCCTGAGACATCAGGCCCTGCCGGCGGGGCGGGCTGCTGACCCCTCAGGGTGGGGTGTGACCACCTGGCCTCCCTGTTTGTCCTGCAGGAGGTGTTTCGTCGGGAACAGAAGGGCAACTCTCTGAAGACATGGGGCCTGCGGGCGGCCGGCTGGGTGGCCATGTTCATGGGCCTCAACCTCATGACGCGGATCCTCTACACGCTGGGTAGGTGGGCAGACGGGGCCTCCTTGGCCCCCACCGCCGCTCCGTTTTCCAGCCTGCTGGGTGCGCTCAGCCCCTCCCGTGACCTCAGGGCCTTGGGACGGGTGAGCCGGGGAAGCAGGACGTGGTCACAGTGCTCCCAGGGTGCGGGGGTGGACGCTGACCCCCGAGGCTGCAGTCTCCCCGCTCTGCCCACCGCCCATCCCCTCAGCGTCCACCCCTTCACCCCAATCTGCGTAGCCGTGCTGAGGGGCTGGCCGGCCGGGAGAGCTCCCAGTTCCTTTCCTGCCCCAGCCTAGGTTTCCTCACGCCTAGCCTGCTGAGTTTTGTGACGAGCTTGGCAAATAGGAAACATGCAAGAGCTGTCGCCCTTCACGCCCCACTCCCAAACCCTGAACGAGATTTGGACAGCCAGCAGACCTGGAGCGCAGGGGAGCCTGTGCCGGGCTGCTCATGGGCCCGAGTTGGCCTGCTTGAGCCCAGGCGCTCGGCCCGGGACCCAACCGCAGGGTGGGTGACTGGCGCTGGGCCTGCTGCTGTGCGGGAGGATGGGGCTTCTCGGGGGACTGAGCCCCATCAGCCAGGTGGGTGTGGTTCCCGGAAACCCCTCCCCCGCTTAGCCAGCTGGAAGAGTCTGGCTGCAGCCCCCAGACGATCAGCCCATTTTACAGGCAGCGGGGGCTGGGGGAGGCTGCTTCCCCCAGATGGTGGAACCGCACCCAGGAACGCAACCTGCGTGGTCACTGGGCCCATCGTGGCCACGACCTCGGGTAGGCCCTTTGCTCTCGCGGCCCAGTCCCCCCTCGTCAGGTCTGTCTCAGGGGGTTCCCCTCTGACCGGTTCACTCCACGCCAGAGGCGGATGGAGGAGTGAGTGCACAGAGGACTTGGTGCGGGGGGGACGCGGGAAGCAGGACGCTGCCGGCAGGGCGCCCGTCCACCCCCCGCCCTCCGCACCTTCTGAGAGCCTGCTGCGTCAGCACAGGCAGGGTCCCCAGAGGCCATGCCGCCGGCAGCACGGGCAGAGTCCCTGTCCTCTGGGCTCAGCGCAGTGGCGGAGTGGAGGCTCTGCACTCAGCCTGGAGCTTAAATTGTGGTTCTGGCACCTTCGGGCTGTAAACTTAACTGCCAGGCCTCGGCGGTCTTGTGGGTGAACCGAGGTTAGGAGTGGCACCAGCTTACAGGAGGGCGGGGTTTGATGAGATGCATGGTCCCCCAGCCAGCGCCCACACACAAGCCCTGCTTGTTGCAGGGGCCGGGTCAGACCAGCGTGGGGCTAGACCCAGATGGGCCCCCAGGTGGCCTGTGGCCACTGCATCACGGCGGGCACCAGACCACCGGCCTCCTGGGAACTGAATGCAGGTCCCCCAGTGCGTGCCGGCCACGGAAGGCCTACCTCACCGGTCCGCAGGCCCAGGACAGGGTGACTGCAGACGGGCTGATGGAGCCCACGTTGGGTGCAGCCTGCAGGGGTCTCCGGGTGGGCGGCTCCTCTGGTCCATTGAGCCCTCACAGGTTCTCCCTGGAGCTGGCACACAGGTGACCGGTAACAGCTCGGGTGAGCGACAGGCTCCTCCAGGAAAGGCAGGGCAGGGCAGCCCGCACAGGCCCGCGGGGGTTCAGCCCTGCTGCTTTGTCGGGCAGCAGAGAGGTGCTCACCAGCATCTCTCATCTGCCCCAGGGCACGCCGGGGCTGGGCTGGGCCTGCCCATCTTCCATCTTTCTCATGTGTCCTGGCCGCCGCAGGCTGTGTGTCCCACCGCTGCCTCTCCCTCCACAACTGGTCCAGAGACAGGCAGGCTGCCGGCAGGAGAGCGGAGGAACCGAGCTGGGGGCTTGGGAACCCTGACTGCCACTCTCTCCCCACAGTGGACTGGTTCCCCGTCTTCCGAGACCTGGTCAACATCGGCCTGAAAGCCTTTGCCTTCTGCGTGGCCACCTCACTGACCTTGCTGACCGTGGCCGCCGGCTGGCTCTTCTACCGGCCCCTGTGGGCGCTTGGCATCGCTGGCCTGGCCCTGGTCCCCATCATCATTGCTCGGACTCGGGTGCCGGCCAAGAAGCTGGAGTGAGCAGGCGCGGCGCCCACAGACACCCCCGCGCCGTGGACCCAGGCCGCTGTCCCCCGACCCACCTGGGTCCTGGGCTCCACACGCTCCCCGCCCTGGCTGCACACGGCTGGCGGGTTGGTGTCCATCGGTTAGCGCTCCACGCCCCTTCTTGCCAGCGGGCAGCTCTGCTGGCGGGAGGCAGCTCCTGCCTGGCAGCGTGGCCTCCGCCCTCCTGCATGTCTCCTTTCCCCCTCTGGGCACCGCGTGGCCACCCCTGTCTCTTAGCTGAAGTCTGCAGAGGTGGTGACACTCAGACCGCAGCTCTTAGCTGAAGTCTGCAGAGGTGGTGACACTCAGACCGCAGATGGTGCCCGGCCCCGCCACAGCCGCGGCCACACTGACTCCGGGACAGTGGCCTGGGCACCGGACACCCCGTCTGCCTGCAGCTCAGCTCGGTGCTCAGAGGCCCACGGGGTGCCCCGATGACGGTGGGCGTTTGTCAGGCTTCGCATGCGTGTTAGTTGCACAGAATCCTTTCGGTGTGCAGGACCTTCAAAAGGTCTGGTAACTTAGGTTTCTTATGCTTCATGTCCCTGCATGAAACTCCCTGACAGGGGATTGTGTGGGGGGTTGTTAAGTGGGGGTTGTTTCAAATAAGCCTTAAAAAACAAAACACCTCCTGAATGATTCATATCTCAGACTATTACACAAAAGCCCTCTGTGATCTGTCTGTTGCAGTCAGTTCAGAGCACGGACGTTCGGTGGGGCTGTGACTTAACCTCGTTGAGGAAGTTACCCCTCTGTATTCTGGGTCCCTGGGAAGGTTTTCAGAGCTTCAGGTTCTTTGAAACCAGTGTTAGCAGAAGGCTTATTTTCCCTCTGAGAGGAAATGGGGGTCTCTGTGTCAGAGAGAAAGGCATTTCCTTTCTTCTCTGGCATCAAAATGCACTGTTTTCTTGAAAATGATTTTGAATTACTCAGCTATCCCAGGTGCGTTCCTTCATGGTGACCCCCCTTGCACACACACACACGCGCACACACACCCCAGATCAACCACAGTCAGGCGTCAGAGGCCGCGTGTTGGACAACTCTCGCCTGGCTCTTTTCACCACACGCTCTGCCGTTAGCACCTGGCCCCAAGTGGCTGCTTCTGGGTGGTTTATGTGTTCAGTGTCCACAGCTTTATCCTAACTCAAATCCACCCACAGTTAATTCCCAGAGTTTCTAGTCTCCTAACTGCTTTCACACCCTTTGAAAGATAAAGTATGTGGTAACGTCGATGTCTTAAAAGACAGTGCGTCCTTTGACTATTTGGAAATTGCTCTGCCTTCCTGGGGTGGCTGCTTCAGTGAGTGAGTAATCTGTCTCTGTCCTGGGGGACTTGTGGTGTAAATTGAGATTTTTTCATGTTCAAAACAGCCAGCCCCAGGGATGAGTTATCTGGGTTTAAGGATTGAAATAGTGTTCACTATTGCTTATTAAATCAGTGGTTTCTTTGACTCTCTCAGCCCCTAAAGGTGCATTTGGAAAGCACAGCGACAAAATGATGGCCAAATACAGAATCCTTGACATTTGTGTAACTTTTTCCTAGTATAGATTTTAAGTTACTGCCAATTTCAAGTGTTCTTAAAGAACAAAAGAATGTTAAATATTTCAAGTATTTGGAAAATCATAATGAAACTTGTATTATCTTTGTATTTTTGATAAAAATTCAAAATAAATTTCTAAACACCTTTTGATGTAGAACTTGCCATATCCCTTTTGCATTCTTTCTGAAATTTCTATCTCATGAGAATTCAGCCATAGGGTTTATTTAGAACCTATGAATTTTTGCAACTTATGTATTGCTTTTAGTAGTTAAAATTGGTTTAAATTTTTTTAAAAAGGCACCTCGATATTCCTAGCACTTGGAAACCTACTTTGCTCTGTGTGGACTTATTCTGGCTCCTGTGGCACCCATCTGCAGGTGGTTCTAGGAGGTGGGAGGGAGTGAGCGGGACCCAGCGCAGAAGGCATCCCCTCGGCCGATGAGCTGTGTGGCGCTGGCCACGACGGTGACCTGAGCCTCAGCTCCCTCACCTGTGACGTGGGGGGTGTCTACCCCACAGGTGGTGGGAGCACGGAGCGAGAGGAAGCCCCCAAGCCCCTGTTCTGAAGCAGCGGACGGCCGCCAGGCGTCCACCCTGCAGTTTGAACTTCTTTCCCCCTTATTACAGCATTCAAGGCAGGTGAGTGCTGACTTTTCAGAACCGGAGGTTTGGCTCCATTTCCATGATGTGTCCCCAGGAGCTGCCTGCCATCCGCCTGAAGAACAGGTTATTCCTGCAGAAACCGGGCAATGCTCGACTCCACTCCCAGAAAACAGCGTGCTCACCTGCAGGAGGGTGAGACACCAAGCTCTGATGCAGGAAGTGCCAGAGCCGGTGGTTTCCATGGCAACCCCCCGTGTTTCTCAACAAGAGCCTTCCTGCCAGTTCTTGCCACATGAGTCACACTCCAAAGGGTTTTGTTTGTTTCCCTTGGATAAAACAGACTGATTTTTAATGGCTCCTGTCAAGATTAAGCAATACCTCTTCAACTAAACAGAAAAATATTCCTCTGTCTGTAACGCTAAGTTCTCAGCCTGCAGGAAAACAAACTCTGATCTTTAATGTAGTCCTGATCTGTGTACGCGCTTCATGGACCAGACCTGTGGAGCTGTGAGCCACGCCAGTCCCAAAGGAAATCAACCCTGACTATTCATTAGAAGGACTGATGCTGAAGCTCCAAGACTCGGGCCACCTGATGCGAAGAGCCGACTCACTGGATAAGACCCTGACGCTGGGAAAGACTGAAGGCAGAGGAAGGGGACAACGGAGGGTGAGATGGTTGGACGGCATCGCCGACTCAATGGACACGGGTTTGAGCAAGCTCCGGGAGATCGTGGAGGACGGGAGCCTGGCGTGCTGTGGTCCATGGGGTCACAAAGACAGACGACTGAGTGGCGGAACACGGGCCACCTGTGTGCACATCCCTGTCGCCCAGGTGCTCTCAGCTGACGTCAAGTCTGAAAGAAAACGCAGAGCCAAGCCTTTCTAGATAAATGCTTTACTGTTTTCCTCAAAGTGTTATAAAAGCTATTTCTCCTAAAGATCTACAGTGTGTAGGGCTTTATAAATGTATCCAATAATGAGTGAAATCTAGTTGAACACTGATCCGTTCTTCCTAACGTCTAAGTCGCGCCCTCCTCCAGGGATCCTCTTGGCCCGAGGATCAGACGCGTGTCTCGTCTCCGTGCCACCGGCGCCCCCTGGGAAGCCTCTTAGGAACGTGCAGGTCTCCTTGTTTCTCCTTACTGTAGCTTTGTTCTGGTCCTCTGCGGCCCTGCAGCGTTCCTGGCAGAGCAGGCGGCAATGTCCCCTGAGGCGGCCTGCGCACAGCATCAGGACCTGCCTGGGAAGCGCCAGGGGCCCCCCGAGGCCGGGCCTGAGCCGTCTGCAGCGGCTCGAGTGCGGACGCAGGAGGACTCTGCCTGGGAGCGAGGCCACCCCCGCGTCACAGCTTCTCAAACGGGAACAGGTGGGCAGCTGCTTCCTCCTCCTCCCTCCTGAGCCGTCTGCAGCGGCTCGAGTGCGGACGCAGGAGGACTCTGCCTGGGAGCGAGGTCGCCCCCGCGTCACAGCTTCTCAAACGGGAACAGGTGGGCAGCCGCTGCCTCCTTCTCCCTCCTGAGCCGTCTGCAGCGGCTCGAGTGCGGACGCAGGAGGACTCTGCCTGGGAGCGAGGCCGCCCTCGCGTCACAGCTTCTCAAACGGGAACAGGTGGGTAGCCGAGTGCGGACGCAGGAGGACTCTGCCTGGGAGCGAGGTCGCCCCCGCGTCACAGCTTCTCAAACGGGAACAGGTGGGCAGCCGCTGCCTCCTTCTCCCTCCTGGTCCTCCTGCGGCACTTCGGCTCCTCGGCCTCTCGGCTTTGGGGCCAGGAGGCCGCCAGGATCCTGGCCGCTTCCGCTTGAGAGCTGGTCCCCTCCTCCTCGTCTGATGAGAGCGCGCCTCCCGCGTCTGTGTGGGGAGCGGCCGCCTCACTCTGGGGGCCAGGCCGGGGCGGGGGAGACAGTGGAGGAAGCAGTGTCAGGAAGCCCCGGGCGTGACCCGGAGAACAGGGCCCGGCCCGTGGGTCCCGGAGCAGAGCACGGCCCTGGGACACAGGAGCTGAGGCCAAGGGACTGCCGCGCAGGGAGCCACGACCAACCTGGGAGGTGACTGCCAGTTGCGCCCTGCACTTATTTCCTGGGTTTTGAACCAAAAAAGTGCCCAAACGCTTAGCACTGACTCAGTGTCGGATGCTCTGAGGGGGCAGCCCTGGAGGCCTCGAGTCTGGGGAAGCAGGGGCAGAAAGCCTGGGCGGGAGGAAGGAGCCCGTGGGAACACGGAGCCGGGAGAGGGGGTATCAGGGATCTGAGGAGGGAGCAGATGCAGGTGCAGACGTCTCCACGTCCCTGACCCAGTGCTGACCGACCACTCCGTCTGGCTGTGCCTGGGGGCATCTGTGCCCCCAAAAGGAGCCCTCGGGCCGCAGTGCTGCGGAAGGGCCTGAATGAGCAGCGGGGGTGGTCGCAGCCCAGGGGCAGTACCAGGCCAGGAGGTGCAGACACCTGTCCGCCTGAGTGGGCTCAGCACCAGGTCCAGCCCACGGCGGGCTCCCATGTGCAGCCAGGGCAGGGCCCACGGCCTGACTCCGGGACACCTTCCTCAACACGGACAGGGCGCAGGGCCCGGGAGACACAGGTTTGCGGTACCGGAACACAGCGGGCCTGAGCTCCAGGCAGGAGTGGCCGTGGTTCCCAAGCCCTCCCCCGGGCGCATCGTCCTCCCGGGCCACACTGACCTGGGCCCCGTAGCGAAGCTTCAGCCGCTCCCGGATCAGCAGCCCTTTGACCAGCAGCTTCCAGTTCCCCAGAGCCCGCTTCTCCCTCTTCTGCAGAGGCGGACAGAGAACAGGAGGTGCTGAGCACGGCCATTCAGGAAGAGATACGGGGACAC